AGAACTACTCAGCTTTATGGGCTCAAACATGTACATTTTCATTTACCCATCCACTGACTCACATTCTCCAAACCATTAAATGGCCCTAGAGATAGGAGCTCAAAGATTCCTGGTCCACAGGCCACGTGTCACCCTCCCCAAGTCTCCCTTCTACTCCCTCAATGAATGCCATTTCACAGGCCAAAGGAATCTTGGGGTTTTGGCTTCACTGCCTTTCACGTCCTTTTCCAATTTCCAAATCTGAAAGGTCACTGTGGCATCTAGCATTTTTAACAGCTTAAAAATTCACAGATTTTTCCAGCAACTCTGTTCTCATAAAGTAGCTACCAATTATTACCCTATTTACAAAGAAGAAAATGTAAATGAGGTGAATAGGTGCTTTTTGCCAATATCAGTGACAGAAACAGGAAATGAAAATGATTTTCTAGATTTCATTTAGGGATGTATTAAAAAGACGACGGACATCAACAATTTCTTTCCGGTATTTCCTGTAACTTCTCAGAACAGACGCTATAATCAGAAGTAGGGCTGATTAAGAGATTTGGATAACCGACCAGCAGCAGTGGGGTGCTGGCTGAGGCGGAGGGTCAGTCACTACTCCACGAAATATTGCCCCATGTAGCTTATCCAGCTTTTAAATTTAAGCTAGTCAGTATTACAGCATTTTGGATTCTGATATCCTCATTTCTTCTAAAGTCCTGAAAAAATATCAGTATTTATGATCAAACTGACCTTTTCATACTCTGCTCTTCCCAGAGCAGACAAAAAAAACCAATGAGCAAGAGAGGTACTAGGAACTCCAAGTCACTGGGAGCTCTCAGAGCCTGCACCCCTGGAAGTGGTTTTACAACCACCTCTTCTGATCCTATGAACAGAGGTCACGTTCTTCAGAAGGTGCCAGAGAGAGAGGCGGCTTGAGAAATGCTGAACTTGCCTCAACTCACTAGCCTGAGGTGGACAGAAGCCCTTCACATTTTCAGGATTCAGCTGATGAAGGACAGAGCTTATCCATGGGTAATGTGCTAGAAGAACAAGGCTTCTGGCATCTAAGCCTCCAGCACATCACAAACTTCCTGCTATTATCTAATATCCCCCCAACTCAGCCATCACTGTTTCCATGGTAACCGACAGAGAAATAGCAGCCTGCCAAATGGCTTTTGTAGTTCCTTTTCCAGCTTGTTTTTCAGTATAGAATTAAAGCTAGCTGGGAAAAGAACCAGACTAATCTTTACAGCAGGGACACGACGCATTTTGGAAAGTACAACTGGGTCTGGGACAAGGAGCATAGATAAACTTTAATGAGCCCAGCTTGAAGGAACAGAAAAAGGGTCTTGGTTTCTAAAAAAGTGTCCACCGAAGTATATTTGGTGCGCTTTACTTTTGTCTTGAGAGAGGATATCCTGACGCCGGCCAGTAGGCAGATATGGTGCTATTCACTCTGTCTTTAACTGAATTATCAAAAGAAGGAATGGGGTGAATGGGACGACGGGCACGTCTCCTCGGCCACCGAGTACCTTGTTGTCATTAGAGGAAATGGTAATTTACTTTAATCAAAATGAATGGGCAGGAGTGGACCGGGTTGGACTAGAGGACACTGAAGAGATGTGCAGCTTGGAGGGGTGAAACGTTTACCCCCGACGAGGCCTGCATGAGGCCCGCTGAGCCGACCGCATGAGTCAGGAGGCGCTCGGACTCAGGAAACAGAGCTCCTCGCCGTCTCGGCACAGGGAGAACAGTGAGGAATGCCGTGTGCAGAACCGGGGCGGCTTGCAGAAGATCGGCAGCTACAGAGAGCGGCCGAAGGTGCCAGACGGCACAACGAACGGCTGCTGCAGGCTGGAGGGGAGGGCAGGAAGCGACAGCAACAAAGTGGCCCCAAACAGATGCTTTTCGGTCTCAAAACCGCATACCTGAACAAAGTACACAGAAATCTCAGGACTCTTCTATGTCACTTTCAGATGAGAAACTTTGACTCAAGTCAAACAGGTATTCAGCTTCTCTGCTGACGGGTAAAAGCGAACCAGATTTTGAAAGAGATTCCCTCCTACAACCTCTAACAGACTCTGAATGTCTTGTTGACAGACATGAAAATTACAGCCTATAGTGGCATACGAAGTTCGGTTCCTAAGCGTTTCCTGACAGAAAGTCAGACTCCTACAAATTCTGCACAGAAGACTAACGTAATTTATACTTTTTTAATTTATGCTTTTACCTTGAGTTGTATGAATCATGAGTCATGTTCTCAGAGCCCTCACCGGAGTTTAGAAAGAAAAGTAGACACAGATTTGCAAAAACCACTTCCTTTCAATCCTTCAGAAAAGGGATCGTTATAATAAGACAGAGCCGATGTACTCTAACACACATGCCTAATGCTGTCAACTCTAAGAAAGGCTTCTGTGCTTCTGCTTTAGCTAGATTTGTGCAGCCCTAGATTTTGGAATCTGTTAAAGAAACCTAAATGAGTCCTTCCAAAAGTTTAAACTTGGGTCTTGTTTACCCAGGAACGGAACTTACAGCTTCTGGCGGGGGGTGGGGGGCCATTTTTAAACTGTATTCAGTAATGCATGATGATCATTTCCAATATATCAACCTTCAATTTTCCCATCTTAAACAAAAGCCAGAACTGAAGAGATATACAATTATATCAAACTCAGTCATAGTTTAGATTATGCAGGAAGCCAAGACTTACTGGAGTCAATAGCCAGAGGTACAGTACTGACACCTTCATACTTCCTCCCAAATCTGTGTCCTCAGCCAACTTTGTTTCAAGATCTCAGGTGAATTTTCTTACTTAGGAGGTCTATATTTTTATTAAATCAGCCATCATAGGTATATTACAGATTCCCCGGCTACTGGCAGATAATTAAAGGGACAGTACCACACTTTTAGTATTTCATGGCCTGTGCGTTCACTATACTCATCAAAATAAACTGTAAGAAGCCTTGATAAAGCTTCAGTATGAGCAGTCTCCCTCTTAAACTGAGATTTTCCTCCAAATGGTTGCCTTCAAGGCTGTGTGGTAGTTGTATTATCCATCCATTCATTAACCTCTAACAGACATCAGGTATATTACCAAGAAAGAGCTCTTGGTCACCATGACTAATGTTTTTATATGAGAAAATGAAGACCTTCGGCTGCCTGGAGGGGAAATGGAATGGGGTGTATCCTGAGCACCAGAACACTGCTAATGCTTAATGGCTGGAAACTGCTTCTACAGTAAAACTAATTATCCAGAAAGCATGCTTTGGGAATCCTTAGGCTTCAAATCTATAAATAGGCCAAAAATGTTTTTAAAAGGGGGTGGTGGTGGTGGTGAATGGATGTGTGTAAAGAAACAGTAACTGAGCACTTAAAATACCTGGCAACAAAGAAAAAACCACCAAGAACGAGAGGCTAGGATTACACCAAACATTATACTGCATCTAGCACAGCTTACGTGCCAGTCAGAGAGGGGGAAGGAGAACTCCCACATGAAGGCACAGCACCAGCATGTGCTAGATCATAAGCTCCAGGAGGGAAAGGGGGACTTTATTTGACTCAATCACTGCTACTGCCCCGGCTCCCACAACCAAGCCTGACAAAAAAGTCGGTGTTCCTTAGGCCCGGCTTGAGAAGAGCACCTGAACTTAAAATGAGACACACGGTGTTCCTCTGCTATTCACATAACACGAGTCTTCCCAAGGGCAGGATGAATTATTCACATAATTTAACTGGGTTTTAACTGAGTGGAAGGCTACATATAAAGCACAGCCATACCCGAAGAGAATATGGCAAAGGTAGGGTTGTCTGCTTCTCAAGTGGTACTCCTGGCGTGTGAGAAGGCTTATCACCCATGGAACTGTGAAGTCTATTCCCAGTGCTGAGGAGCCAGTTCACCCTGTAACTCACTGGCAACTGACGAGCCCCCTGCTGACTCAGACCAAAGGAAACTTAATCGATGGAAATAACACCAACAAAAGCTGCTTAATGGCGTAAATGCAAATAACACAATATGCTTCAAAATACCATGCTTGGAAACTGAAATACATGCCAGGAAAAGAGCCCGGCCCATTAACTATGTTCTTAGAAGCAGCCTATCTGATGAAGAACAGACATGAGCCCTGACACACTAACTGTTTGGTCTGGATTAGGTCATATTCTAAACACAGCCTTATAAGCCCTTCTGCACGGACTGGGTCTGCTTTAATGTGATAAGCTAAATGATCGGGAAGCTTGGTAAGAAAAGACACAAAGATAGTAAGATAATCTGGTAGAGGTCTGCTCTTTTGAGTTCCTACTATTCTTCTATCTATCTTAGTTCTAAGGTCCTATAATTTCTGGATTTAAGAAAGAAAATTAACGGTCTTCATGTCCCTCAAATGTCATGTAATACAGGTAAAAGCGGGGACGGAAAACTAAAGTCATTACACAGTTTAGTCCCTGCTTCTCCAAACTTGGACAGACCACCACCTCTGATAATTTGGCTTGAGTATCTATTTTCTGAAAGAATTACAGGTTCATCTGTATGTCAGAAGATGGCTAAGAAGGCAAGGAGTATGCTTTCAATGTTCCCTCACAGAAAAGAGGCAACACGGCTATGCAGAAGACTTCCGTACGACAAGGTCCCAGGGGCATCTTCCTCACACCATCTTCCTTTCCCATCTCGCATCTACCAGCTTGAGCCTTCCCTTTATAAGCTCTCCTTCACAGCATTTATCATAATTCTAATTATTTCAATATCCCCTATGTCCATGAGGACAGGGATTGTGTATGGTCCTTTCCACCCAATGGAAACAGGCCCCTGGCACCTGGGAAGCAGTTTCTGCTGGGTAAGATGATGAATGAATGAATGAAGGGAGGGAGGGAGTCTAATGTTAACCATGGGGTAGGCGATCAGTTGAAAACATTTCAACAATAAAACACATACTCCCGTTCTCTAGATCTGAACACAGAAGCCTTACAGGGCGCTACGTTTTTCACAAAGTATTAGAAGGCAGGAAAAACTTAAAGCGAATACTCACTGGTGGGGGTTTCCTTCTCATCTCAAAAGTGCGTGTGGCACCAAAGCTCAGTGAAGCGATGACGGGACATCTCCCTAGCGAAGGTTCATCGTCGCTGTGCCAGTCAACACTGTCCTTCTCGTTTCGGTACAAATTGCAGAGCAAGGAGTTGAAGGTGTGGCCAGTGTCTTCTTCAATTTGGTCCTTCAGTGTGTGCAGCACAGGATGCCACTGCCAAGAGAAAGGGCAGAGATGGTTCCCATCAGACACAAGGTGGCAGCCACAGGTAAAACGGGAGGCAGCGTAAAATCGGTCATGCTACGAACAGGGGCATGGAGTAAGCAAAACGCAGGGAACGGGAACGCGACAGCCACAGGCAAGAGGAGTCGATTCCCGCCCATTATTTCTACTTCGATGCAAGCTGACCTCCACGATTTTATTAAGGTACTAAACTTGGCATAGCAACGTCACGAGGACCAACGTTCTCTTCCCATCTCATCCTTTCAGTCCGTGCGAAACTCATGACCCTCACAAAGCAGCAACTGTCGTCACGGTCCGCAGTAAGGAGGTAAGCGGAGTGCGGAGCCCGGCTTGCCGCCACAGCCGATGGGCTGCCACGATATTGGCAGATACAGACTGAAGTCTGAGGAGGGAAACAACTTTCCTGCTGGGTGGCCCTCTTCATTCGACTCCTATTTTATCACGAATGACAGAATTGCTTTTAAAAAAAAGATATTCAGTATTTCCAGAGTGGCTAACTTCCTAAAAATAGAACCAAAGGGAAAAAAAACATTCTACAGAATAGAATTATGACGGGGCCTTGATAAACACCTGGGCCGTGAGCTATAGACAGTTTACACAGATGCCACAGCCCTGCCTCCTGAGCACCCAGTCCACTCTTTGAAACTCATGTCTTGCCACATGCAGTATAGGAAGCTATAACCCACGACCTTAGGTTGTAGCTGGGAGCTACAATCAGCGTAGCTTGTATTAGTTCTTGTTAGAATTCTGACTTCCTGCCACAAAACCTCAAGTACTTTACAAAACTTGCCTTTTTTTTTTTTTTTTTAAAATAAAACTTCCTTTTAGGACAGCTGTTCTCACACTCCTATCAAAAATTGAGGACCTCAAAGAACTTCTGTTTATATGGGTTACAGCTATGATGTTTATCATATTAAAAATTAAAACCTAAAAAAGTTAAACTATTGATTAATTCATTTAAAAAATACAAACCCATGACATGTTAACATAAATGTTATTTTACAAAAAATAACTCTATTTTCCAATACAAAAATTGGCACCAAGAGAGTGGCACTATTTTGCGAATTTCTTTGCTGTTTGGCTTCACTGAAGAGAGGTGATTCTCACATCTACTTCTGCATTCAGTCTGTTACAATATGTTGTTTTTGCTAAGTATGTGAAGAAAATTGGCTTCACATGAATATGTAGTTAGAAAAGGGCAGGAGTCTTTTCCAGCCTTTCCAAATAATTGTGGATATTCTTTGCTATTACACAAAAACTCAACAAGTACTGATTTCCTAAAGGTCGGCTGCAGTGTGGAACTGGAAACCACACCAACAATTACATTTAAATCTACTGGTCCGGCTTGCACTTCAAATGAGTCTTTTAATCTTTCATGATTCTATAACATCAAGCACTGGTCATGTGGAAAATACTGATCCAATGAGTAATACAGACAGACATTACTGTTGACACATTCATTGTACAATCTTAAAAAATCATATCCATTAATATCAGCACTGATCTCATCAGAAAAGACTAAGTAATAGAGGTCAGGATCAAAGTGGCGGGTATGACTTTTTCCAAAACTCTAATTCTCTTGAAAACTCAACTTTTATAAGTAACAAAACCTATCCATTGTTTTCCTTCAAGGGACACTCACTTCACTCATTTATGAGAAAATGGCAACCAAATACTCAAGCTGGAATAACTATAGTTTGTCTGCTAGTTGTTCTTCCAAACAAAAATGGTCCACGATAGAAGTGGGCAGTTCAGCTACAGCTTGAAGAATCACACAAGTGTTCTGTGCCTTGACAACCATCACACTTGGCTTGTAGCAGGACTGCTTTATGCATACTTTCCATTTCATCAAACTATTAGAGAGACATGAACCCAAACACTGAGATTTAATAAAACTTTTATTGCTTTGAGGAACGTTCTTAAATGAAACCAGCCTTTTTTTTTTTTAAACCGGAAGTGAATGGTGGTGAAGAATACCATGATAGTAAAGTTTGATGACAATGACCTGATTGATGCTCAAGCACCAGAAGTTTTACCCACCATTACTTTCGTATCATCAGTGAAAATTCGACAGAGTGAAAACGTCACACTCGCCAAGTATGATATAAATAGTTTTGACCTGTGCACTTCCCAAAAGAATTTCATGGACCCCTCCAGGTATCCACTGATTTTATTTTAAAAACTCTACCTTACAGAACACCTTCAAAATCAGGTTCTATGTATGCTAGTGAAGGAAGAGATGTTCATCAAAGGAAAACAGAATATTTTAAGTATATCCCACAACTACTGTCAGGTAAAACTGCCAAGCAAGCATATGTGGGAATCACTCAGCTTTGCTGTGATGTAGCAATCGTGGTAAGCTGGGATTCCTTATTACGGATACTAGCATTACATTCTAAGCAGAGAATTTTTTAAAATAAACAATGACAACAACAAACCAAACTTAGATCAGTAAAACAGAAATGTTATTAAACTAACCTATGTTCTAGAGAATAAATTTCAAAGGGAACTTTCCTAATAATGTTAGCAAGCTGTATTTCCTATTTATTTTATGGCTTTGAGCTTATCTTCATGGAGATAAAGATCAGATGCTAGAATTATACACTTAGCAAGAAAAACAAGAATGTAAAAGAGGAAGATAGCTTTTTTGCAATGTGACTGAAAAACTAATTAGCACTTTCCTGACTTGCTTAGGGACTGAGTACTGTGATAACTCCAAGTTTGCTTTATGTTTCTAAGTGGGTATATATTTTTACTGGTTATTTTTGGTGGTGAAGTAAGGAGAAAAAAAGGGGATAATGAACTAGAGGATTAATTTAGACTCTCCAACCAATACTCTATATACAGATCCCTCAGAACTGAATGTCTAAATTAAAGTTCAGCATCATCTCACTGTTCAGTGAAGACATTCTATCCTTAAAAGACATTTGAGGAAAAGAGTATGAGAAAATATGAATCACAGAAGTAAAAGGACCTATTCAGTGGATTTCAAAAAGTGTTTTGTAGAGTCTTAGGTACCACAAAGGTGTCTCTGGAAATTCAGTAGGAGAAAGGAGAGGTCAAGCTGGTGGGACTCCCAGCCAGTCAAGGCACTTCTTTATTTTCATACACTGGGTTCATAGAAGATTTAGTTCAAAAAAGACTAAAAGAAGATTAATAACCTCTGACTGAATTTGCTCCTGTGCTTTGGGTTATTAAGCTTGAGGTAATAATTTAAAAATTAAACAAGTTAAAATTAAACAAGAACCCCAACACGCATATATACCTTTAAAAAGTCCAAGAGGCATCTCTTTTGATTTTGTTCACAGTGCCAGAAAAACAAACTAAATCTTTAACTGAGGAACACAAAGTTATGAGCCAGCCAAATTCAAATAAAAGAATTCTGACAACCTTAATAGCCAACAAAAAAGCTTGTTTGAATAAATTATGCTACGTACATACAGGTTATGGACTACTACGCAGCTATTAGATATGATTTAAAAGAATACTTAATGATACTAAGACATGTTAATGATACAATTAAATGAAATGTAGTATACATAATTGGTATTTTTATAGACAGTCTCTGTTTATTTCCTTAAAATGAAAAAAAGGGGGGCGGGGAGGGAGGTGCGCCTGGCTGGATCAGTTGGTAGAGCATGTGACTCTGGATCTCAGAGTTGTGAGTTCAAACCCCATGTAGGGCATGGAGTCTGCTTTAAAAAATAAAAAGACTAGAACCAAACATTAGGTGGAAGAATTACCCAAAATTTTAATATTCTTCAGGCTTATCTGTAGTTTCTAAAATTTTAAAAAATAAATTCATATTACATACATTATAAGAAAAAGACTGTCATTAAAAAATTCTTTTGAAGAGTTATCAAAATGTCCTCAAAGCATAAGAGGCCATACTACTCAGCATATCTGATGTGCCTTACATTTATTTAGCAGGGATTTTTAGCCAAGGGCAGTTCTGCTCCCTAGCAAATGTCTGGCATCTACTGCGTACAAGTCATGGATACTGTTAAACATCCTATAATATACAGGACAGCCCCAACAACAAGGAATTGTCCAGCCCAAAAAATATTAATACCAAGGTTGAGAAATCCTGTTCTAAAAGATTAACTAAAATGATGGGAAAGAACTTCCTCCCTAGAGCCTGTTTAATCCTCAACTTCTCTGTTATGACTGTTGACAAGAAGGTAAATTAATTCTGACAGAAACATGGCCAGCCATCTGTTGGATTGGTCTAATTCAATTCTCTTCATGTTTCCAAATCAACCTCAGCTATAAAGGGTCTCAGCACTTCCCTGGGTCACATTCTAAACGCAGCCCGACAAACAAAAGCATGCAGCTATCTTTTCACGTGAAAAAGCCATGTCCCCACTCCCACTCCCATCAATATTTTGTTCCTGAACATTTTAGTCAAGTGGGAGTTTATTATTACAAATTAGTAGAAGCTCTAAAATGTGTCACACTTCTGTTTATCCCAATGTCACAAGCAAAACTCCATTTTCTTTAAAGTCTCGTTCAGTAAAGCATAAGATTATTTGCCAAAGGCAAGATTCCAGGAACTAAACAGGGAGCTATTTCTTGGATCTTAACTCTATCCTTTGGACAAGCTTAATTTATATACTAGAATCTCCTTGTCTACTGTCATGGAAATTTTTAAAAACAAAAGAAATAGTAGAAATAAGCCAAACCCACGATAAGATTTCCGAAGTCTAAGAACTGCAGCCACAGAATGAATACAAAGTCAACAAGAAAAACACCAGATTTTTTTCACAAGTGGCAAAAGAGCTTGAGAAATGGAAAGAGATATTCGGACCTCACTGGCCAGTCCTAAGAATCTGGTTCCAGAGCAAACGTGTACCAGGGTGTACACAGAAGGTTATGGCCAGAAAAGCAGGCGAAAGGGGAAGATGTGAAGAAATGGCTAATTTTTCTGAAATCCTTAAGCCCGGTTCCCGTTTATTCTAGCTCCAATTTTTTTCTCATTGTCAGAGTTCATCTCTAGATCAAAAAACACAGGGAAAATGATAAGCACAAAGACTCAGTCTTTGAACCCAGAGGATTTTTGGTACTAGGAACCATCATGCAACTCTGCAAAATAATGTACTATTATTTTACAGTACTCTACATTTATAGCACATAGTCTATAAAACCATACCAACAGCAATATTCCAACATACGTGAGGATTTGGTTCCATAGTGATTCTTGAATAAGTGTAAGGAAGTTCTCCATACCATGCTGTAAGTCTTGGTTGCTTGTAAGTTACATCTAAGAAAGAAAATACAGGGCCTTTGAAATGGTTTAATGCTATTTAAGGTGTGCCTCCTGAGTGCCACGCAATGTGCAAGAAACTACGAGAAAAACAAAGGCAGAGTAAAGATGGCTCTGACTCAGGGTTCCACACATTCTTAGAAGACATGGGATTTCAGGAGTAGAGTGACTCAGAGTTCAAAGAAGACAACAGAAGGTACGCTGGCACAAAGCATAGCAGCAAAAGCTCTGAGGTGAGAGTATATATGACTTGTTTGTGTCAGTGAGGACATAAGTAAGAGTGGAGTCAGGGGCGCCCGGGTGGCTCAGCTGGTTAAGCAACAGCCTTTGCCCAGGTCATGATCCGGGAGCCCCAGGACTGAGTTCCACGTTGGGCTCCCTGCACAAGGAGTCTCCTTCTCCCTCTGACCCTCTCCCTTCTCATGATCTTTCTCTCGCTAACAAATAAAATCTTAAAAAAAAAAAAAAAAGAGGAGTCACACTGCAGAGCAGTTCAGATTAGAGAGGGTCTAAAAAATGCAGGTTATGGAGTCTGAACCCTTGTAGGCAGGCATCTGTGGCACCAACATCCACACAAAACACGACACACTGTTCATCCACGTGCCACCTTCTGATTTTAAGAAAAAAGGGTTCTGACCAACCACAGCACAAAGCTGATAGTAGTCAGAAGTTTTTGATGTCCAATTTATCGAGAAGGGAGTTATTCACAGATCTGCTGTTTTTCCCCACAAATGAAATTAACTGCTACAATAAGAACAATAATGACAAAGGCAGCTAACATTCACCAAAGGCTTACTAGGTACCAGTCATTCTGCTAAGCACTTATCATGCTGTATCTCATTTAATTATCACAACACCCTTAACGAGGTAGGTATTATTATTAGACCATTTTACAGATCAGAAAACCAAGAATCGGAAAACTACTTAACTAGAACTTGCTTAAATTCACAATTACTTTGAACAGCAAGGCCAGCGATCAACGCCAAGCTGGCCACCAAAGCCCTCCTGTGGAAACTCTGGGAGTCAGGAGAAAAAGTGGATTCCTATTCTGACGTCGGAGTCACAAAAATGAAGTCTGTATACTTTGCCTCTTTCTTCACAGAAAATTTGAATTCGTTCCATGTGCCAGAAAGGAAATTTTATGTTAGAGCACAGACGTCCTCCAGTGGCCACCTCTGGTATAGCAGATACTGTTGGCTTGTGGATGCCCACAAAGGAGCAGGTTCCAAGCCAGGCAATCTTTACAAACTCCCAGAGCACAAATGCTGAAACTAAAGGACACTGGACTCCTCTAATGAAATGAAAATGAGAATAAAAAGCCGGTAATAAGGATCATAAAAGAACATATGCCAAATGGAATCAGAAAAAGAAAAGCTCTGGAAGTTTCTATGAAGAAAGAGGAAAACTGTCACTATTTAAAGTAATAAAGGTAATGAACAAACTTAAAAAGAGAGGTATCAACCACAGTTCAGCCAAACCAAACATCCTTTGGTTGCTTGAATCCCATCTCCATGCTCCTGCCCTGTTCACTCTGATCTCTGAGCCTGCTGTCCGCTGTTTCTTCTGCCTAGAATACTCTTCCTTGTCCCTTTTGATTGGCAAATCCCTACTCATCTTTAGGATCTCTGTTAGGTTTTAAATCTGTTTACGTAAGACTGTGCATAGTGAAAAAGGCAACGGTATCAGAAAACATTCTAGAAAGGGAGACCAGGCAGCAGCAACAAGTACGATCTCAGACATCTACTTACCGTCTCTGACGCCAGTCCTCTGTTTCCAGGGAACGACCTTACAAAGCTGTTCCAATACCCAGTCAGCTTCTTTTAAGTTAATAAAGCCAGGATACAAACACACCCTTGATGCAGAAAGAACCATTATTAACTAAGTCATTATTATAACTAAATATAACTAAAATATAACTAAATAAATATAAATATTTATATAAATATATAAATAATTACAACTGAACATAACTAAATAACTAAACCATTATTAACTGAAGAATACAAAAAAGAGGGGAGCCTGGGTGGCTCATTCAGTTAAGCATCCAAGTCTCGATTTCAGCTCAGGTCATCATCTCGGGGTTCTGGGATCCAGCACCCCCATCAGGGGCTCAGTGCTCAGTGTGGAGTCTGCCTGAGATTCCCTCTCTCCCTCTGCTTCTCCCCCTGCTCATGCACACTCTCTCTCACTCAAAATAAATAAAAATCTTTTTTTTTTAATAAATAAAAATCTTAAAAAAAAACACACACAGAGAAGATGAGCTAGTCTCTAACCATTAGTGAAGGAAGTTAATCTGGATGTTTCCTCATGGGTAGGTGAAATCATCTTACATCTCTCATGGCAGAACCTAATTATCACCAGGTCATGATGTTCCACATGTGAAATAAACATTCACGTTAGGACAAATAAAAAAGGCAATAAAGGAAAAATAATGCATGAGGGCTTTTGGAGACATGATTCAAATACTGTTCTACCACCACCTGCTGTGAAACCTTGGGCAAATTATTTAACCTCTCTGAACTTTGGTTTTTCTTATCTGTAACACAAAAATGATATCTGCCTCATAGGCTCACTATGGAACGTAGAGTAATTAATAAAATGCCTGGCCCTGTGTTATTTTAACAATTGGTTGTCTTCTGAGACTAAGCCAAGTAGGGAAAAGGATCATTTATGACTCTATCAAAATAAACATTTCCAAATGAGGGTTCTTTCTCTCACTGAATATACACTTACTTCAGTAATGCCAAGTCAGCTCAAAATCATTTTGGATATCCTTCTTAAGAAATGTTCTCAGGGCGCCTGAGTGGCTCAGTGGGTTAAAGCCTCTGCCTTCAACTCAGGTCATGATCCCAGGGTCCCGGGATCAAGCCCCGAATCGGGCTCTCTGCTTGGCAGGGAGCCTGCTTCCTCCTCTCTCTCTGCCTGCCTCTTTGCCTACTTGTGATCTCTGTCAAATAAATAAATAAAATCTTAAAAAAAAAAAAAAAAAAAAGAAATGTTCTCAAAGCCCTTGGAACATTCTGCTGAACTTCACTCTGAGGGTGTGTCTGAGTTTTTGAAAGAGCCAAAGCTCACCTGAAGCCATGTCTGGTTAACAATGAGATGCGACCAAAATAATGCAACTGGGTTTCTTGTGTGACTGTTAAACTGGCTTTGAAAGGGAGGTTCTGAAGCTCTTCGTAAGCAGTGCATTCGGATATGCAAGTTCAGATACATTTATTTTAAATGCTTCATTATTTTATAGTGACAATAAGTATATTCTTGAATTAAGGAGATGTTTTAAAAAAAATTTTTTAAGATTATATCTACTTATTTGAGAGAGAGAGAGAGAGAGCGTGTGCAAGCAGAGGAAAGAGCAGAGGGGGAGGGAGAAAGAAGCTCAAGCCGACTACATGCTGAACCTGACCCAGCAATCCTGAGATCACGATCCGAGCCAAAACCAAGAGGTGGACACTTAACCAACTGAGCCACCCAGGTACGCCTCAAAATGCTTTTAATAATGATTAATGCCATCGATACCCTAAGTTGTATATGCTTTACCTTTACTAAAACTTATCTTAATGCAGATTAAGATACTGATCCACTCATGCAGATTAAGGGTTAACATAACTTAATATGTTGCATATAAATATATGCAGTAATATGATTAATACGATAATGAATGTAGTAATACATATAATGTAACATAATAAAATGTAGCACCCAGAGCATAGAAGTGAAGGCTAGATCAACTCGAATTTTAAGTTACTATGTGGCACTAGGAAAAAGTCCTCAATCTCCTTGGCCTGCATTTCCTCATCTAAAAATTACAGAAGTAACAGTTACCATACCTGACGGAGAGGCTAAGAAAATGTTCTGAAGTTAGAAATGCTATATAAAAAGAGATATTACACACCCAAGAATTTCAGAGGCAGAAGTTACCTATTTCAAGTCAGGAAACAGAATATTTTAAGAGACTATAACTCAACTATAATTATAGTCCCTTTCTAGGGAGGATGCACTTACCTAGATATGCCTGTGGGTGACATGCTGATTTCATACACACCCTCTTTGCTACAGAAATTAAGAAAACAGACTCATTAGTATCAGGCAAATAATAAACTCCCCCAGTGGGAGAGTTGTGCTTTGCAGCTCCCCAACTTCCGGTCACCTACACCATTTCAGAATGAGCACGCACTGTGAGGGACGCACATCCCCACCTCTTCCACTACTGAGATGAAAGGCAAGATGGTGGCAGATTACCGATGTCACTGGGAACTGAATCCTGAGGGGATCAGGCCATGGAAACAAAGACAGGGATAAAATAAATTCCGATTCTACCCCTTTATATTTCACCCATAATTTAGGCTGATAGGGTCCAGAGATCTATCATAAAGGGTACCAAAGAGAGCATCTCTTTGGAGACTCTGGAATAGGTGCATTTACAGAAGGCAAATACATCTCAGAGCTCTGAGCTTCTGCTGCTTTCAGATACATGTCTAATGAGGTTCCCACTCTGATTAACATCCTTCAAAGGCTCCCCACCAACTTTTCAGCATTGTATTCAAGGTCCCCATGATGTAGCTCCACTTCCTGACAGCTCCACTCACTCATGATCCTCCACTGCTGTTTGGAATCTCCTAAATACACCACAGTATTTTTTTTTCCTTTATTTTATTTTATTTATTCGAAAGCAAGCAAGCACTAGCAGGGGAAGAGGCAAAGAGAGAAACAGACTCACTCTGAGCTGGGAGCCCAACATAGGGCTTGATCCCAGGACTCCAGGATCATGACCTGAGCCCAAGGAAGACGCTTAACTGACTGAGCCCACCCCGGTGCTCCACACCACGGTATTTCTAATCCTGCTTTCCTACAAGCTGAAATGCTTCCCTGCCATCCAGCACCCTCAATCCAACCCGTCTGAGCTTTAGTCTGGGAGAAAATTCTAATTCATTCCTCAACATCGCAGTTCAGCCTCACCTTCTGTAATGCTTTCCTGACCTCTAATCCGCCCAAATAATGTTAACCATCTCATCCTCTGTGCTACCACTAGACCTTACTATAATTCTACTGTTTTACAACACACATGACTGCAATTTCTTATTACATGTCTATTTCATTTACTAAACTGTGGGCTACTGAGGGGCAAGGAATAGGTTACTGTTCTGTTTCCCAGTGCCTTGCACATTGTAGATGGGCAGTAAAAGCTCAGAATTTAATCAAATGTGAAAAAGTACAAAACTGTTCCAGAAGTGCAGCATGGCCAGGTCCACAGTGAGAAAACTGATCCAGACTGCACAGGTTCCTGTACCAGGATAACAGACCCTTCCTGGACAGAGCTCAGTTACAGAGAACATAAAGGGACAGTTTTCACATCACCCTCTGCCATGTGCGTTAGTAGTTCGTGATCTGTGAGCTGGGCTCCTGGGCAAATGTGAGAGCGCCTCCGAGCAAAAAATGTGGGCAGGGTTATTGTCATATACATTTATCACATCTCTAGATGGTCTACCCCCCCGCCCCACCCCTGAGTGTAAATTACAATGTTTAATTGCAATTGTAAATTACAATTACAATGTTTCAGTGTGATACGTTTTGGGCCATGTTTAGAAATTGGCTCACTTTAAACATGGGTGACATTTCTGGCTATTAAATAAGAATCTAAGGAGCTAACTTGAGATAACCAGAATTAACAAACCTTGGGGTCAAGCAGGAACTTCTGTCATTTTGCTCTGACCTGAATATTCACAACTGCCCATTTTTTCAGCCTGAATGTCCCATCCGTACCTAGTAATAAGTTTCATGGTTTTTTATTCTCTTTATCACCAATGGAGGCAATGTCACATGGTGTTCACAAACGAATCCAAGACTGTGAGAGCCACCAGACTCTGCTTAAATGATCCTATCGTCCAAACCTTTAATGTTACAAAGAAACTGAAGTTCAGAGAGATGGCCTTCATGTACCTAAGGACTAGTTACATAGCTAAATAGTGGCCAGGCCACAACTATATACCCTCTTTGAAAGTACGATGACATTCCTGGGGCGCCTGGGTGGCTCAGTGGGTTAAAGCCTCTGCCTTCGGCTCAGGTCATGATCTCAGGGTCCTGGGATTGAGCCCCGCATCGGGCTCTCTGCTCAGCGGGGAGCCTGCTTCCTCCCCTCTCTCTGCCTGTCTCTCTGCCTACTTGTGATCTCTGTCTGTCAAATAAATAAATTAAAAAATAAAAATAAAAATAAAAAAGTACGACGACATTCCTGTTTCAAATTTTTCCTGGGCTTACAAGTCAACCTGGAAATAGCCAAGCAGCCTAATAGACTATTCCTGGGCAGGAAGAAAGGGAGAGAATCTCAAGCAGGCTCCAACTCCCGACTGAGCACAGACCCTGAAGTGGGGCTCAATCTCACCACCCTAAGATCATGACTTGAGCAGAAATCAAAAGTTGGCCACTTCACTGAGCCACTCAGGCACCCCACAAAGCATCTTTCATTAATTTTGGAAAAGAGTATTTTATATACAGATAAATGTAAGAGGAATTATAAATTAAAGATGACATTTTTATATACAGATCAACGTTAAGAGGAAATGAAATTGCTCTGGAACAATTATACGAGAATTTAAGGCCCTCTAGATTTCTAGCAGCTTTCTTTCGTTAAGTGTTGCTAGTAAAATAGTACCTGATGAAAGTCTTCTCAAAAGGCCAGTTTCAGGGGCGTCTGAGTGGCTCAGTGGGTTAAGCTGCTGCCTTCGGCTCAGGTCATGATCTCATGGGTCCTGGGATTGAGCCCCGCATCAGGCGCTCTGCTCAGCGGAGAGCCGCCTGCTTCCCCCTCTCTCTCTGCCTGCCTCTCTGCCTACTTGTGATCTCTATGTCAAATAAATAAATAAAATCTATTAAAAAAAAAAAAAGGCCAGTTTCAGGGCACCTAGGTGGCAAAGTCAGCTGAATATCCAACTCTTAGTTTTAGCTCAGGTCATGAGCTCAGGGTCTTGAGATCAAGCTCCGTGTGGAACTCTAAGCTCAGTGAGAAGTCTGCTAAAGTTTCTCTCTCCTTCTCCCTCTGCCCCTCCCTGTGCGTGCTCTCTAAAATAAATAAATAAATCTTAAAAAAACAAAAACAAAAAACGCCGTATTTCAATGACTCAGGAAAAATCCCGCTCTGTCTTTACCTAGGAGATATTTTAGCTTACTGTCTGCAGATCTTAATGAATCAGGATCAGGAAATCCACACCAGAATCACAGTTTAAGGTACAAGTATCTTCTTGCATTTTCCACACCATCAGCAAATTGAGCAAGGCTTCCCAAAGGACCAAGTTTAAAGACATCTAAGATACAACTATCCCAGCCTAAAATTAATACAGTAACTGGGCCCTTATCTCTTTCAGATGGAAAACCCAGTGAGGGAAAGATCTGGGCTCTCCATTTTCCTGTGGGCAACAAATACAGAAAGGCAACAAATTACTTACTCAATTACTCGTGGCTCTGGAACTCTGCGTACTACCTGCAAGGAAACAGGCAGATTTTACTTCTGGAATGATCCCTAATCCTCAGAAAGGCTTATGTGCAGGACTACCACATCTTCTCATTTCTGATAAAAATAAGTCAAGTTTAAAACTATCCCTTTTTTAAATTTCAAGCTTTTATAATCCTACCAGAGACCCTTGTCTGCTTTTCTTAGAACTATTTCACAGTTACTAACGGGCAAGAAAAAATAATAAAAGTAAAATTAATCCACTTTCAGAGCAGCCAGTAATTCTGGAAAAACCTTCTTTCCAGGCAACTATTTATTTATTTATTTTAATTATTTTTCCAGGAGACTTTTTAAAATAGAAGACCTACTGGGATGCCCAGGTGGCACAGCTGGTTGATCATCAGACTCTTGGTTTCGGCTTAGGTCATGATCTCAGGTTGTAAGATTGAGCCCTGCTTGGGCTCCGTGCTCAGCACAGAGTCGGCCTCAAAGATTCTCTCTCCCTCTGCTGAGTCATGCACATGCATGCTCTCTCTCTCAAATTAATTTAATTAAATCTTTTAAAAAATAAAATACAAGATAAACTAAGAAATTTTAATCATTATTTACACAATCACTATTACAGCAAGATGACTAATTTTTAGCTTTTTCCATGTTATTAACAACAGTGAATCTTCACTGTTTCTTACAATTTTTCCCCACGGGGGGGGGGGGGGGGAAGGCGAAAAAATCAGGCATTGTAGTAGCTGAAAATTTCAACCCAATCCGGAGACATCTGCTAAAGACACTAGCACTAAAGACAGCATGGTTTGTTAGAACCATGTTAGAACTCAGACAACGAATGCAAGTGCTAATCACGGTATAACCTCCTTCCCCCCAAAATGGGAATTATACTTGCCCATCAGTTGGGAGCAGACTATAAAGAATCTTCAGACATAATAAGGAATTGATATGCCACATTTCATTATAAGTAAAGGCCTTTCACATTCCTTTCATTAGTGAATTTATTCAGTCACTATTGGAGTGTCTACTATGTGAATATAGCTTTTACAAGCAAATCTGTTAGTACTGTAGGAGAATTAAGATCTTACTTGCTGGGGTTCTTTGAACACAAACTGTCTGTGTGAAAGATGATGCTCCTTGTTCATCCATGTCTGACCAGGTCTCTGGTGGAGATGGCTCTTAGCAGTGGTGGCTGAAACGAGCAAGAAGAGACGTGAACCAGACTCAAAGAGTCTGCTCTAGGGAGCAAGGGCTAATAAAATCTAGTTGAAGATAACCGATATGACACCTAGAAATTAATTAGTAAAGTCTGTCGGAGATCCCACTACACAATGAAAGGTGTGAGAGCTGTGACAAAATACGAGGAACACTATACCTCAACCGCCAATAAAAGATGACCACCAGTGGGGCACCTGGGGCTCAGACGGTTAGCACCTGCCTTTGGCCCAGGTCATGATCGACCTGGGATCAACCTGGGATCGAGCCCTGCATGGGCTCCTTGCTCAGCAGGGAGCCTGCTTCCCCCCTACTCTGCCTGCCTCTGCCTACTGGTGATCTCTCTCTCTAATAAAGAAATAAAATCTTAAAAAAAAAAAAAAAGATGATCATCAAGAAAATCAAGGCATCAGCTACACTTTAAATAACTCCTTAACATCAACTGAAATGCAAGTACATCCACACAAGATCCCCACGAGTTCTTGCCTGGCTGAGCAGGGGCCTGGCTCTTAGGGGGACCAGCCCAGGCTCCCTGCACTCGGGCTCGCTGTCTTTTGTCCTCCATATTGACCAAAAACGCTTCTGCTCTTAGCTTTCAGATTTCATTCCTGATTAAAACCACACGAGGGTATCTGTTTGGGGAAAAAAAAAAAGTGCTTTTAGTTAGGATTGTGAGTGTGAACCACCTAAGGAAGTCATTATAATCCTTTCAAGCTCGATGCAATCGGAGATTCTATACAAAATTAATTTCTGTCATCACAACATCTCAATCAAGGAGCCTACTAAGTCATTTAGAACTGCAGGTTTTAACGTTCATTTTTGCAATCTTATAGAACCTTTTTTTTTTTCCCCCAAGAGAGAATGAGCGTGCATTGGCGGTGGGGTAGAAAAGAAATTCTTTTTTTTTTTCCTTCACCATAGCACATACCCTCCCCAATGTCCATCACCCAGCCACCCCATCCCTCACCCCCCTCCCCTCCAGCAACCCTCAGTTTGTTTCCTGAGATTAGGTCTCTTAGGTTTGTCTCCTTCTCTGGTTTCATCATCATTCTTCCCCCCCCTTCCCCTATGGTCCTGTCTTGTTTCTCAAATTCCTCCTATCAGTGAGATCATATGATAATTGTCTTTCCCTGATTGACTTATTTTGCTTAGCATAATACCCTCTAGTTCCATCCACATTGTTGTAAATGTCAAGATTTGGGGGGTTTTGATGGCTGTGTAATATTCCATTGTATATATACACCACATCTTCTTTATCCATTCATCTCTTGATGGACATCTAGGTTCTTTCCATAGTTTGGTTATTGTGGACATTGCTGCTATAAACATTTGGGTGCCTGGGCCCTTTCAGATCACTACGTTTGTGTCTTTAGGGTAAATACCCAGTAGTGCGATTGCTGGGTTAGAGGGTAGCTCTATTTTCAACTTTCTGAGGAACTTCCATACTGTTTTCCTGAGTGGCTGCACAAGCTTGCATTCCCACCAACAATGTAGGAGGGTTTGTCGTGGAGAGAGAAAATCTTAAACAGATTTCACGCCTGGTGCAGAACCCATGCAGGGCTCGATCTCACCACCCTGAGATCATGACCTGAGCCAAGATCGAGAGTCAGACTGAGCCACCCAGGCGTCCCAATGTACATTTGCTTCTAACAGTACATTTGCTTCTTTCCCAAGAAAGTACACGTTAAGAAACTCTTAAGATCTATCATAAACGACATTAGTCTTAGTAGTGTCAAAGAAACTGTAATATTCTCTCACCTATACGGATACTGAGAAATAGCTCAGACTCCGTTTCCAAGGGCATTTCCATATTCTGTTGTAACTGGCTATATCAAACTTCCCTGGAAGCGTAGTAAAAAATACCCATGTGGTTGGGGCACCTGGGTGGCTCAGTGGGTTAAGCCTCTGCCTTTGGCTCAAGTCATGATCTCAGGGTCCTGGGATCAAGCCCAGCATCGGGATCTCTGCTCGGCAGGGAGCCTGCCTCCCCCTCTTTCTCTGCCCGCCTCTCTACTTGTGATCTCTCTCTCCTTGTTGAATAAATAAATAAATAAATCTTAACAAAAAATACCCATGGTCTGTCTCAGAATGGATCCATCTTAGGATGGATACAAGTGTTCGTCTTTGCGACAAGCATCGTGGGAGATGGTGCTAAGGGGGCACAGATGATGACTACAAGGTTAAGCCGCTCACCCAGAGACACTTGGGAAGTCAATAGGAGATAGATTAACATTCAAACTTTATTAACTTCCAGGTTTTTTTTTTTAAGATTTTATTTATTTATTTGACAGACAGAGATCACAAGGAGGCAGAGAGGCAGGCAGAGAGAGAGGAAGGGAAGCAGGCTCGCTGCTGAGCAGAGAGCCCGATATGGGGCTCGATCCCAGGACCCTGGGATCATGACCTGAGCCAAAGGCAGAGGCTTTACCCCACTGAGCCACCCAGGTGCCCCTTAACTTCCAGTTTTCAGTCAACTGAAAAAAAAAAAAAAAAGCCACCTCCTAATACTCAGCAATACTAATTTGGCATTTCTGCCATTAAAATTTTAGCTCACAGCAAATACAGGAGCACAGCTACTAAAAAGGCCAACACAGGGAGGTTCAAGCCACATGTTCTGAACCTATGATCTGGTTCTTTATTGCTCTAAGAAAGCTTCACATTTCAAGTCCTCGCAGGTGACAAGCTCGTTTTATGGCTTATTTAGCATTCCAATGTCCAGACCTTCCCCAGACCTTCTGAGCTGGGGTGAGCCCAGGAATAGGTACACTGAACAAATTTCCCCAGGTGATAAGCTTATCATTCCTTCTCCGTTAATAGGTAGGGAGATGACGGAGACGGCCATCTGCCCCAAAAGAGCGAATGGCAGAGTCAAATGCCAACCCTCGACACCCACAAGATGTGTCGAGGCAGCTTACATTTATTTTCTCTCAACGGGAGGGTCAAAAGCTCTGAACACCCGTAGCTGTAGTTCTCGCTCTGTTCCCAGGGGAGTAGTACGCTGTTAGGGGCCAGGGCCCAGCTGCTGAAAAGAGAGATTCCGGAGCCCCACCCCAGACCTAACCGATGTTGTGGCCCAGAAACTGCTAAGCAAGCCCACCTTCCACCCCGGGGTTCTTCCCCCACATAAAGCTCGAGAACCCCGCAGGAGGCAAACGCCGAGAGCTCGGGCGCCGGCCTGACTCGCTCCGAATCTAAATCTGGCAGCTCCCGGCCGCATGACCTGTCCGCTGACGTCACCTTTCCCGGCCCGAGTTTCTTCCTCTGTAAAGAGCGGAGCCGAGACCTCTCTCGCGGCTGAAGCGCAGATCAGGAGGTCCTCGGCGGTGAAAAAGCCTGGTCCTCAAGCAGCGCTAGCAACTTGCCCTATTTTCGAGTCTTCTCTTCCAGGAGCCCCGGGACGCGGTCCTGGAGGTCGACGCGGGAGGGTCCTCAGGGGGCGGTCCCCAAAGGCCCAGCCCCCCAGCGGGGAGCAGGGACCCCACAGCCGGCGCGCAGGTACAAACCCGCCCGGTCCTGGAACGAACCCCGCGGGCCCAGACCCGCGTCGTCACCGGCTGTCGGGGAACCTTAACAGGGAAACACCGACTCCGACCGCTCGCAACCACAGGCCGCGGCGTCAGGAATTTCCTCTGACGTCACGCGCCGCCGCCACTACTTCCGGCGCCCTTAGCTGGAGTCCGGGCAGCTACGTGTTCCCTAAGGCGAGAGGTCCGGCTCGCTGAAAGTGCAGATAAGGGCCGGGATAGGAGCGGAGCGCGAGCTGAAGGTGCGATAGGAGCCCGGTCGGCAGCCGGGACATGGCGAAGGTGGGAATGAAGACGCATTTCATAGGCCAAGGTCCTTCGGGCCATAATCCACCCCCCTCGCTCCCAAACCAAGCCGGAGACATCTAAGTGCCCGCAACCTTGGTCTCTGCGGAAAGAGTGACTGGGTCCCAGCGGGGCTGGGGGAAGGGCGAGGGGGTTGGGAAACCAGGTCGTGATGTGCGAAGTAAAAGGATTAGAATTTTACCCTGGAAGCCCTGGAGAGTGTAACAGGCACTTCCTTTGCGTTCCCACCGCAGCCCGTGCGTCTTTCCATCAACAACACAGCTGGGCGTGGGACCTTCTCCTCCATGGCTCTCCAGTGCTTAACCACGTGTTGCCTGAGCCAGACGACACCACTTACGGGATGTAAAATCTAGGGCAGGTACTCCACTTCTTCTTCTTCTTCTTCCTCTTCTTCCTCTTCTTCTTCTTCTCCTTCTTCTCCTCCTTCCTCCTCCTTCCTCCTCCTTCCTCTTCCTTCTTCTTCTTCCTTTCTTTTTTTTTTAGATTTTACGTATTTATTTGGCAGAGAGCAAGAGAGAGGGGGGGAGAGAGAGAGAGAGCACAAGCAGGCAGAGTCAGAGGGAGAAGCAGGCTTCCTGCTGAGCAAGGAGCCCCATGTGGGACTCCATCCCAGGATTCTGGGATCATGACCTGAGCTGCAGGCAGCCGCTTAACTGACTCAGCCACCCAGGTGTCCTGGTACTCCCCTTCTTTAGGAAATGGCATAGCTCTTGTTGGGAGAGTTACATGTGGTAATGCATGTAAAGAATGTAGCAGGGTCCTTGGAACACAGTAGAAATTCAATTAATATTAAGAGTGTCTTGAAAGGGGTGCCTGGGTGACTCAGTGGGTTAAAGCTTCTGCCTTCGGCTCAGGTCATGATCTCAGGGTGCTGGGATCGAGCCCCGCATGGGGCTCTCTGCTCAGCAGGGAGCCTGCTTCTTCCTCTCTCTCTCTGCCTACTTGTGATCTCTGTCTGTCAAATAAAAAATAAACAAAATCTTTAAAAAAAAAAAAAAGTGTCTTGAAAAATAAAAAATAAAATAAATTTGGGCACCTGGGTGACCCAGTCAGGTAAGCTTCTCCCTTGGGCTCAGGTCATGATCCCAGAATCCTGGGATGGAGCCCCACACATTAGGCTCCCTGCTCAGTGGGGAGTCTACTTCTCCCTCTCCCTCTGCTGCTCCCCCTGCTTGTGCTGTCTGTCTCTCTCTCTTTCTCTCTCTGTCAAATAAAATATTTTTTAAACATAAAATTAAAAATAAATAAATTTGACCAGTGGGTCAAAGAGTGTCTTCTTTTCACCGCCTCCGAGTTTCTGAGAAGCATCTTTAATATGGCTGTATTAAACCATGTATCTTGCAGTGTGAAAATAGAAAAAATAGCACTGAATTGACTGTTTTGTGCAGCTTATTCTCTAAGACCTACCAAACAACAGTCACTGTCGGAGTCCTTAAAATAAGTCTTACATTATATCCTGCTTACCTGCAAAAGCTCAGTGTATCCCACAAATCTAATTTTCACAGCATCCATCATTCTTTTGTTATCCTTTGTGACACTGAAGGAAAATTATTTATCCTAGAACTGAAAGGAGAGAAAGGTGGTAAGGGCAGACTATAATTTTTATCCTTTTTTTTTTTTTTTTTTGTCCCCATCAACTAGTAATTTGTCAGTGTCTGTTTCTGGTTCAGGAACCTTGGCTGTGTCTTCCAAAGGATGTTACTTCTTTCTTTTCAGTGATTATGGTTTTGGAACAAGGACAAAGAAGTTTGGATTGAGGAGTCCCTAAAAGTAGTGATTAGCACCTTTTCAGCCTCCACGTAGAACATTTCTCAAAAATCCATCCATGGCTTGCTTGCATCCAAAGTAACTGCATTTTTAACAAAATCACTTGCATTCTTACCAAGTGTTCAGGGTGATTTGGATGCAGATAAAGTTTAGAAACCTTCAGGATGCCTGTAGAGTAACAAATCATTCCCATTTGTCTGGTACTGAGAGGTCTTCCAGGACATAGGACTTCAAATGCTAAAGGCAGAAAAGAACTGGGCAACTGACATGGTTGGTTATGCTAGATACATGTTAGTATGTAGAATTAGAAAGATGTTCTTTGTGAGTCTTATATCATAGGTTTCCCCATTTCTATAGGCAGTGTTTATGTTTTTATCATGGGGTGGTGGTGGAGACTGTGGGAGAGGGAATGAAAGTGAGGTGTCTTGCCAGTTATCAGCCCAAATCTTGCCAGATTCTCAGCTCCAAACCCATCCTCCACTGCCCTGCTTGCAATACTGGAACATTTCTCCCTTGCCATTTGGTCCCATGTGAAACGTCATCAGTAGAGGGTGCTGGAGGGACATTAGAGGAGGAAAGGGTTCTTCCTGATTCAAGTGCTCCTTTCAGCTGTCTGCAATGCCGAGCAGCCAGCAGTGGTTGGCATCTCTCTGTGGGCTGAATTGCAATGTTAGTGACATTGACAGCCTTGTTAAGTTCCTATTGTGAAGTTAAGGCATTGATTGGGAAGAAATGGGATCCCAAATTTTGAAATAGTGACATCTGCTTGGACCTAGAGGAAACTGACATCTCTTGGACACCCAAGTCATCCTGAACTTCCCATGGCAGTGGAAGTAGCTTGCTCTCCTGTGTCTGAAGACATAAGCAGTCCTTTGCTTGAAAACCCTGTAAAACCCTCACCTGGAGCAGATGACTTGAAATGCACAGCATAGATCTGAACTTCCTAACAGATGGGAGAGCACCCCCAGATTTGTGCCTTCCTTGGTGGGGGTGGTGGTGGTAGTGGTGGTGATGGTGGTGGTGGTGGTGTGTTTGTGTGTGTACGTGTGCACGCCTCTGCCTGGACCTAGATGCTGGTAGGGCTCTTCCCTCTATCTGCTGTTTCTGTATTCTTAGAATTTACTTGCCCCTTGTAGGTAATACCCTATTATGGTTATTAATCTTTTCTCCTGAAACTATATAATTTCTGTCTCCTGTTTGATTCCTAACTGTTACAGTGTGATTGTGATATCAGGGGTTGGAAGCGATAGCTAGCAAGTGGCTGGCCCCAGAGTTGCCCTTAAACTGTGAGCAATCGGTTTGGCTCTGATTTGGACACTATCAACCCTGGCCCTTTGCTCTCGTGTTGCTCTCTTGTTTTCCTTCACCCAAGACAGCCTTCTTGAAGTTGTGCTGAGCTGGTTGCCTTGCCTCTACTCTGAAACCAGCATTTCTCAGCTTATGGTTGGAAGACTATCTGTCTTGGAGTCCCTAGGGCATGCTTGTAAAAAATGAACATTCCAGGCCGCCCGTTGAGATTCTGGGTTAGTGGGTCTGGGGCAGGGCCAAGCAACTTGGATATTTAACCGTGCCTTGTTTCATCTTCCAAGAACCTGCCAGACTTCTACCTTTTCTAGCTGCCTACTTTCTGCAGGTGACTACTTCCCACTCAACAGATACCCCATCCCTTGGATGGCAAAACTGATAGATGCTTTTGAGGTGCTGGTAGCTTTTACCAAAAGGATTCTGAATGAGCTACACACTGCTGCTTATTTTCAGTTGCTGATTTTCACACCAGACTCTTGCCAAACCTTGCCTGTTTTGATCATATGCTGCTTGTGGAGTGCCCGCTGAGAATTCTGGAGAAAATCCAATCCAGGGAAAATAATGGCACGTCATGCTAATAGCTTTCAGTGAAGGTACTACATAGAGAAATTCCCAGCCCGTGTCTCACTGCCAGAGGCTTAGCGGTTCCCAGCTTGAAGTGGGGGGAGAGTGGGGCAGGAAACTGCCAACTCTGCAGCGGGCGGGCAAGGATGCTTTCAAGTCTCCACCAACTCTAACCAACATTGAGGAAGACAGGATGCTTCCCCAGACTCCAGACAGGAACTCCTCCCATTCAACACCCAGCACAATTACACAATTACAGATGCTGCTCAAGATAAAATCTACCAGTAAGCCATAGCATCAACTGTGAGGAACAATGAAAGAACAGCATAATTGGATGTGAAATTGTGGAGAGCGGACAAATATCAAGGACAAGAGAGGTGACTAGAGGTTACAGGCATCAGCGAAGGCATATGGCAAACAGGAAGTTATGTCAGAGGTTTGTTTGTTTTTTTTTTTTTTAAAGATTTTATTTATTTATTTGAGAGAGAGGCAGTGAGAGAGAGCATGAGCGAGGAGAAGGTCAGAGGGAGAAGTGGACTCCCCATGGAGCCGGGAGCCCGATGCGGGACTCGATCCCGGAACTCCGGGATCATGACCTGAGCCGAAAGCAGTCGTCCAACCAACTGAGCCACCCAGGTGTCCCTATGTCAGAGTTTTAAACAGCATGGAGCATTCGGTGGCTAAGATATTGATAGTCACATCACTCCTAAAAAGAGCAGGCGCCATTTACGCATCTGATTTCTAAATAATAGCACATGATATTAACATTTCCTGAGAGCACGCCGAGTGATGCTGTAGTTATATGCATACACTGATCCAATTTTCTTAGTCCCAATTACAAAGGAAAAAACTAAACCATTATGCTACGTGAGGCAAATATGTGGCGTATGCAAAGCCAAATTAGGAAAGACAGGACTATTCCTGGAATGATAGATGGCGCCATTTCCTGGGGCCTAATAGCTGGGTTCTTTCAGAGACTTTGAAA